CTCTTAGTCTGACCCGTCACCCAGGACCTGTTTGCCTTGGGAGACCCTACCAGGGACATATAGCCCCCGACAACATAGCTCCTAGGATCACTCGGGTACTCAAACCCCTCCACCACAATAAGGTGGCGGTTCAAGGAGTGGAGGTTTGATGGGGTTCGAGGAGCGTGTGACATGACACCTCTAAATGTATTTGATACAAGACAAGAAATAATTGTGTAATGAAATTGTGACCCGCAACATTACGTTACCAGCTAGCCTGGGGTAACCGCTGGAGCGTAAAGACAATGATACACCAAACTGCATTTTCAAATGTGGAGACTGGATATTTTTAAAATATCTATAACTACATGACACTCTACAAAATTCATAACATTTTCACTGCATCTGTACTAGAACACTTGACGTACTCCAACAAACCGCTAACCTTAATGTAGCATTTATGCCAATGCAAGTAGAAATCCTCTAGCATCCATTCAGAACTGCTGCCACCGCCCTTCACATTTACGTTACCGTTCAAAAAAATATCATACGGTGTTTTGACCTACGTTTGAACTGAAAGTGGTGTGTAACTCTTTATGCAAAATTTAGAATTGTTTTATAGCAATGAGGTTGTATAAATTATGCCACCTTTGCTGAGAAGCGAGTCAACTTTAAATGACCAGATTTCTGAATGGAGTTCGGCGTTACTTCACCATAGCAACTAACCTTTTTCCAGCTATTTCAGTACTGGTAAAATGCCGTTGTTGTGCCAACAGTTGTTGTGCCCTAAAATGGCCCCCTGCCACGGATTGCCCCCCGCGCCCCGAATCAATTCAACAACCTTTATTATAACACTTTGTGGATTTTATATTACGTAAATATTGGTCCTGTGTTTATGCTGCTGAATTTATTTGGCGCTGGGACACACGGTATAGAATCCAGGAGGGGGGCATTTCATGGCAGCAGGCCTGACACGAAATGCCCCCCGTTTAACCCGTTAAACCCTAAGCGTCTTTTGGGGATTTAAATCGACAGCGACTCGCCGCAATAAAATGTGTATATCTCCGCAAACACACGGTTTATTTGGTTACTCTCGGTTTAAAACGAAAGGTGACACTTGTGAGAGTTGTGCTGAGGTGTAAATACCTTTCGATGTTTTCGCCTTTGATATGTATTTACAAGTCAATAGCTTGGTCCCACATTTCCCCATAGATACAAGTGACCCCTTGTTGGATTCCTCTCGACCTATAGAAAACGGCTATTGAGTTTCTGGCCTTATTGACAGCATCGTGGACCAATGGCAGTCGAAAAGACCGCACCATGGGGGGAAGGTTTTTTTTGGCCAGCACCAATGTAAACCTGTTTCTATCCAGCCTGAACCCCCCTTAGGAAGAAACAATAGCATTTTCCGAAAGGACGCCATCTTTGGAGTCAGGAAATGCAGTGTTTGCATCGGAAAAACATATTTTTCTGCATAAAAACATCAAAGTTAAGATGGCAAATTTCGCTGTTTTGCTCGCGAATCGATGTCTGTTTTTGAAGTTTGTTGGCTTGTATCTCAGTAATGCTTTTACTGAGCGTTTTGACCGATGTATGTATAGAATGTGTGGAGTCTGGCCTTTGTTTTGAGCCGCGGCTAGCGGTGTTTTGGTGGATTATAGTCGGTAAAATATGACAAAATATGAATCGTATGCCCGGCATAGCGCCCCCTAGGGGACTCCGGATATTGCTCTTTTGTGCTTTATTGCTTTTGCTGTGTTTATTGTGTGGTTTATATGGTTTAAATGGTTTATATGACGTTGTAGCCGGGGTTTCGCTGAACATTTTGATGTATACATTGTTGGGGGTCGGCTGTCACCACTCGCGTAGCATACCTTCATGTTGTGTCAAGCCCCAGGGTCCCCTTTGAAGGGGACCTTTTAAATCAGGTTAGGAAAAAGTTACAGACACCAAATCTGCACCAATTACTGATATTGGTCCTGTGTTTATGCTGATGAATTTATTTGGCACTGGGACACACGGTATAAAATCCGTGGCAGGGGGGCAATCCGTGGCAGGGGGGCATTTTAGGGCACAACACCGTACCTTGTGCGAACTGAACACTGTAGATCTCACTGTGAGGTTAGCTGGATCATAGAGGAATCCGGTTCGATGTCTTAACTCCCAGTTAGAGTCAAAAACACAGTATTAACTGACGGTAGTAAAGGCATGAAAGCCCAGTGTAACCGCCGGAGAAAGGGGCCGAGCTCCAAATGCAGCTATAGCTATTTGCTGCGCCCACTGTGTGAATGGGCATGCCCACAGCTACTGGGCACATAATTTTGAATGATGGTGCAGCTGTAGAAAGAAATTCTTGATAAATAATATAGTGCTATGTTATGTATTTGTAAAATTGGTCCAATAATTGTTTGTTTGACCTTTGGAAAGACTTGACCTGTGCACATGAAATGCTTTGTGAGTAGGTGCAGAGAGACTCACAACAACAGGAAGTGCGCGCAGGCAGAACCAGATGACTGGGCTGTCTGCCACAAGAGATGTAAGTGGGTGAAAGGTCTGATTGTGTTGAATTTATATTATCAGCATTTATCAACAATATATGAAATGCTTGGCCTTCTATAATCAATATTATAATCTGCATTAGCAAATATATCTACATGTTTATTTTAGTATCATATGCATTATAATAGTATCATATGCCTTATAATCTACTTTTGTTTTAACCATTTAATTTGTCTTAAAGAGTGTAGGAGACTTGCAGCTGACAATAGCAGAACCTGTAAGCAATCTACAGGAAACCACAAACGGAACCAGTGCTTAGCAACGCTCGCTCCTAGTTACAGGAGTAGACGGGAAGTGAGTCAGAGGGGCCTTCTCTAAAAACTGTCTGAGCTTAGGGCAGTGAAAGGTCGCCTCAGAATTTCACAGATCAAAATCTGCCTGGCGACAAGATCACCAAATGAGGGGTCAGAACAAGGTCAACAAACCAACCAAGGAGCGAGGATGAAGGACAACGCGGAGGACGTCAAATCTACCATCATTTGCATATTTGAAAACTGTATAATTGGACTGGGTTCAGGAGTATAGGCGTTCCCTTGCTCTGAAGGCAAGCCGAACGGTTCTGCTGTCTAGAATCAGGGCCTCAGATAGAAACGGAACCCAGAGCTCTGTAATTGCTTTTCTTGAATATTTGTTTTTTAAATATTGATTGTAATAAATATCTCAAAAGACAGATTTGTCTTTGAGCATTCTTCATAAAAAGGACACGCAGGACTGGTGAAAGTCCAACACAGCCCCCCTGAACGCGCAGCACTGAGCGGGTGAAGGCCAGGCACCGCCTGTCCAAAGCGCTTGGAGGGAGCAGGCCCCCCTGAACGCGCAGCACTGAGCGGGTGAAGGCCAGGCACCGCCTGTCCAAAGCGCTCGGAGGGAGCAGGCCCCCCTGAACGCACAGCACTGAGCGGTTGAAGGCCAGGCGCACAAGCCTGTCCAAAAATGCTCAGAGGGACCAGGCCCCCCTGAACGCCCCGCACGAAGCGCAGGAATCCCACCCCACGCACAAGCCTGTCCAAAAACGCTCAGAGGGAGCAGGCCCCCCTGAACGCACAGCACGGAGCGGTTGAAGGCCAGGCGCACAAGCCTGTCCAAAAACGCTCAGAGGGAGCAGGCCCCCCTGAACGCACAGCACTGAGCGGTTGAAGGCCAGGCGCACAAGCCTGTCCAAAAACGCTCAGAGGGAGCAGGCCCCCATCTCTCTCTCTCTGGACACGCAGCAATCTACCACATTCCTCAAAACCCTCTCAAACACTACCACAACATGCAAACTCGCACACAAAGGACGCGAACCCGAAACTTTCTCACTCTCAGACAACTGCGCTGCCACCGCGCCACCAAAACACGATGCCCACCGGCGGCGCGGTGGGTATCGTTACCCACCTCGCCCCCCAATGCAAGATTTCAAATGTTCAATAAAAAACGCACCCCACCCCACAGTGCAAATACTCCACACACAAAGGACGCAAACCCGAAACCTTCTCACTGTGAGACAACTGCGCTGCCACCACGCCACCATAACGCAATACCCACCGGTACATTGATTTCAAATGTTCAATACAAAAGGCACCACACAGGGAAAATACTCCACTAAATGCATCCAAAACCTGATGCACTTATAACCTAAACAAAAACTTCAGCTGTAAAAGTCAGTCCCTTTTTGTTTCATTACCTCTTATTCAAAAATGGATTTGTACTGGTAACGATTTTGAATTTGTGCTTTTGTTTGTTATAATTGTGCTGCTTTACAGTTAAGGTCTCACCTAAAAGAAATCTTAATTTCACTTGACAATATATAAAATACCCAGAAATTTGAGGCACCACCTTTAGGGAGCTTTGAGAAATGGTGAACCGTACATTTGTGCTAGTTCGGACTCAGAGAAATGCAGGACTCGGATACAGGCTTGACAAGGTAAATGTATTTTAATGAGTTATAGAAGTGACAAGTGGACAGAGCCGGTCTTTCCGCGATCTCGGGACAGCTGGGAACACTGCGTTGACTGGACTGCTAGCGATGCAACCTGGGGTTGAAGGAGAGGCGCAGCCTGCTGAATAAGAACAGAGGATGACAGAGAGAGTTAACAGGTAGGCTAAGGTAAGAGCTACCTCCAGTAGTAATACTGAGGACCTCAACACCCGAGTGTGCTGGCTCTTGGCAGGAGAGCGCCACAGCCACGGGAAGCAGTCCAAGGAGGCAGGAACTGGCACAGGTGATGGGTGAGGATTAGGGCGACAGCAAACGGGAGAGTAGGCAGCGGGATTCTGTGATAAAAGCTAACAGCAGAAAGCCAGAGCTAGTGCAATAAAAGCAGGGGCCTATTTCAAGAAGGCGGTTTTGTCGAAACTCAGAGTTTGTTAACCCCGAAATGAGGGCAACTCGGAGTTTTCGGTTTCAGAAACGGAGGTAACTTAAACCCGTGAAGCGGGGTAAGTTAAACCCGTTTCACAAAGAGAGGTAATCTAAACTCAGAGTCAGTTACTACGGCAACTTACTCTGTGAACCTAACCTGGTCGGGAGCAGGTTTTATTCGGGAAACTCAGAGTTTCCTCCGGGTCTCCGCCCCTTTTTAAAGTGAAAGGTGTTTAATACCTCATTTAATCCTTCAGTACATTCATAGATTGCACACGTTTCCGTCACGCAGAGACCAAAATGGCGTGTCCATTCATAGAGGATCCTGTAGATGAGGACGCTGTAGTAATTCGCAGGGAATTGCATTTACGTCGGGAGAGGATATTGAGGCCACGAGTTGATTTTTTGTCATATCCCCATGTATTTTTATTTGAGCGGTACCGTTTTTCTAGAGCGTCCATAACATATATCAATAATCTTATCCACCCATACATCAGACACATCACCCATCGTGGCCGTGCTCTTACATCCGAGC